TGTCAGAAGGTCAGGACTGAGGGAGCGCTGTACTGTCAGAAGGTCAGTACTGAGGGAGAGTGCACTGTCAGTAGGTCATTACTGAGGGAGAGCTGCAACATTGGAGGGTCAGATCTGAGGGAAGGCAGCACTATTGTGGATGAGAGAACATTGCACTGAAATGAAATTTTATCTGAGGCTCTTTCAGCCCTTTCAGTTAGATGGAAAAGTTTTACAGTGTTTTTTTAAGAATAGGAAGGGAGTTTCTGACCAGTCTCCTGGCCAATATTTATCCGTCTGCCAACATCACTAAAATAGCTTTTCATAGCTATGTCACTAATGTCCTTCAGGGAAGGAAACTGCCATCCTTACCTGGTCTGGCCTACATGTGACCCCAGACCCACAGCAACGTGCTTGACTCTGAACTGCCCTCTGGGCTATTAGGGATGGGAAAAATGTTGCCTGGCCAGCAACGCCCTCATCTCACGAATGAATAAAAAAAAGTATCAATGTTGTTTGTGGGAGCTTGCTGTGTACGTATTGGCTCACTTTTTTCCTACATTACCTCAGTGACAACACTTCAAAAGTGCTTTGTGATGTCCTGAATTTGTGAAAGGTGATATAAAAATGCAAGTCTGTAATTTTTCTTCTGACGCTGTAAAACTGTATTGTTTGTGAAAGGAGCTGTGACCTCTCACCCCTGTGGTGACCTCTTGCCTTGCAGTGTAACCAGCTCTTTGAATCACTCCAGGATCTGGTGGACCATGTGAATGACTTCCATGTAAAACCAGAGAAGGAAACTGGTTACTGCTGCCACTGGGAAGGCTGTGCTCGGAGAGGAAAGGGATTTAATGCCAGGTGTGTGAATCTCGTCATTACTGTTTGTGGGCTTAATTTAATTCAGATTCACCCAGTTCTCTTTTGTGCTGTCTCTGTTTCTTTCCCAAACTTTACACTCCATTGGGGATGGACCTCACTGTGGTCTCCAATGCCCAGTTGTTCTCACCAATCAGTCTCACAAATAAGAACAAACAGAGGTTCTTTCATTGGGCGGAAGGCAGGAATGGTTAAATCATAAAAGACAGGATGGAGCAAGGCAAGGGAGAAGGACCTTATGCACCAAGTAAGTAAATAAAGGACAGGTTGAGACGAGGTGTAAATAGTTACGGCAAAACAACAGAGAAGGATGAAAGCATGGGAAATGTGGAAAAAAGAAATTCACATGGTCTGAGAATGTGGCAGAGTATTTTAGTTCAGATTTCAGCATCCACAGTATTGTCTTTAATCTTATAGTTTAGTTCCGAACTGAATGATGCTTCTGTTTAGGGATTGTTTGGTTAAAGTTGCAGCCCTATTCTCTATCACTGTCTGTGTGTGTCCAGAGTCTGCAATGCTGCTGTGATGGATCTGGAATGGTTTATCAGACCAGGTGACTAACTGTCTCCATTGACCTTCAGGTACAAAATGTTGATTCACATCCGAACCCACACCAACGAGAAGCCCCATCGCTGCCCGACTTGTAACAAGAGCTTCTCTCGCTTAGAGAACCTGAAAATACATAACCGATCACACACAGGTGACAGCAGGCTGGGGGAGGCGGGGGGTGGTGGTGGTCACAGGTAACAGCGGGCTGGGAGAGGGGGTGTCTCAGGTAACAGTGGGACTGGGGAAGGGGGTGTCACAGGTAACAGCGGGACTGGGGGGAGTCACAGGTAACAGCAGGACTGGGGGTGGTCACAGGTAACAGCGGGGCTTGGGGAGGGGGTGTCACAGGTAACAGTGGGACTGGGGGGGCGGTCACAGGTAACAGCTGGCTGGGGGAGGGGTTGTCACAGGTAACAGCAGGACTGGGGAGGTGCAGGTCACAGGTAACAGCAGGCTGGGGGAGGGGGGTCACAGGTAACAGGGGGACTGGGGGGGGGGGGGTCACAGGTAACAGCGGCCGCGAGGGGGGGTGTGGTGGTAATATAGATAAGAGTGGGCGAAGACGGGGGCGTGGGACATAGATACGAGAGGATTAGGATGGTGGTGGGAGGGAATGCATAGGTGAGAGTCGACCAGGATGGACAAGGGGATATCATAGGTATCATAGGGACAGGCGGTTCTAACTAGAATGGACTCGGATAGGAGCAGTAGGGTTATTGGGCTAAGAGAGTACCTGGAAGGTGGTTGTTTTAGGTACATGCTGATCTGGGAAGAGGTCAGAGGTCATGGGTAAGATGTGGCCTTGGGTTGTCAGATCATTGGGCCAGGCTGCGCTATGATAGTCACTGAGGTTTGTGTACAGGCCTGAAGTGTGATTGCAGAGGGTCACTGATGGGGCTTAGAGCATGGACTGGGGTCATATATGTAGAATGGGCCTGAGATGAGGAATCTTTGCAAGTTAGCCAGTTACTGCAGGGTCTTGTTATTCTTGTCTGAAGCCTCTTTGGGGCTTGTTTGTTTTTTTTTGTGGGAACTAAGATCACAGAACTTTATCAAAGTGAAGGGAAGGATTGGATTAAACCCTCGGTGGAACTGAGTGCGGTTGGAAACATTTGCTTTGATTTGTGTTCCAAGATTTTGTATTCTGTCTGAGGAATGGGCTTAATGTTGAACTGTTGCTGTTAGTTTGGATCTTGTTACCCAGGTGTGTGTGATTTCCCATATTCCGATAGCTGAATATTCCCTATTCCTCTCTCCCAGGTGAGAAGCCCTACATCTGTCCATACGAAGGCTGCAATAAACGATACTCCAACTCCAGTGACCGATTCAAACATACCCGGACACATTACGTGGACAAGCCATATTACTGCAAAATGCCTGGCTGCCATAAGAGGTACACAGATCCCAGCTCCCTCCGCAAGCACATCAAAGCTCATGGCCACTTTGTCTCCCCAGAACAACAAGGAATGCTGAAAATTCGACCGTCAACCAAGAATCCAGTAGCATCAGAAATGCCTTACTTGAATGGGACACAGATTATAATTCCCAATCCAGCAGCCATCTTTGGAAATCATCCCCTCCAGGCATTGGGAGCCTCATTGCCGATTCCAATGCACCCTACACCTCTGGACCTCAGCCCCTTGACATGCAGCACTGTTGGATCTGCTTCAATCACAGCCATTCCTAGTTCGATCATTTCTCTCAATAGCACTCCAATAAATTTAACCAAGACATCTTTAATGGCATCGCCATTTTCTGCAAGTACCCTTGGACTTCCATTGATGTCTCTGGTGGCCGGGTCTCATAGCAACCTTGAAAGGCTATCAACATCGAAAGGGAAAGCAGTGGTTTGCAGGAAACGGGATGGGACAGTGAAGAATCGTCCTTCAGAGAAACAGTTACAGGAGAGGGTTGAGGCTCGACTAAGGCCTACAACAGAAAGCCTCTCAATGCTCCCGGGAGCTGTGATAGACTTGTCAAGCAGCATTAACACCATTCCTGCTGCTGACTCTCTGCCTCCTGGCTGGGTGGTCATTCCTCCGGGATCAGTATTGCTCAAACCAGCTGTTGTAAACTGAATTCAGTCGAGCCAGTTACTGCTGTGGTGTTCACACAATGATTCAACCAAACCTTGGTTTGCCATGTCTGAACTGAGATTAAACAAAAGACAGAAAGATATTTTACCAAACTTGCACTCTCTTGGTGGACACATTGACCAGTTTTATTTTTGTCTTCAAACTAAAAGTAGATGATGGTGATCGACATGTTGAAATCTCAAGGTAGCACCTGCTGGTTTCACTCCAGGGAAAGATGCTTAGTGTGTCATTGCCCAGTCCTTCCCAATGAAAGTCTTCATGAAATGAAAACTCGAAGCTGACACAAGTCTGAAAAGTAATCAGATTATGTGTTGTCAAAGCGGTGACACTGATTATAAATGGGGGCACTTCCCAGCTTCTCTGGGAGCTTAGAAATGTTGTCTTGTGTTACTTTAAGCATGAAGGGTCTTTTTTTTTTGGATATGTACCAGATCATTGAGATAGATCAATCAGAAAATTTAATAATGCTGAGAGCAAAATAAGAACTCTGTCAACAGTTATAGCTTAAAACTGTACTCATGCAGTTTTGACAATTTCAGATCAATTTCAGTGATGAGAATGAATGGATTTGGCACCTGAACAGCCATTAGGATCCAGGGGGTGGGGGGTGTGGGCCAATAGTGGACATGGCACTATTGATCAGAACTCATGATCCAGCCAATCAACTTGTTCCACAGGGAAGTATTTTGCATTGTACTCAACCTAGTTATAGAGTCACACAGCACGAAACAGACTGTTCAGTCTAACCAGTCCATGTTGAACATAATCTTAAACCAAACTAGTCCCACCTGCCTGCTCCTGGCCCATATCCCTCCAAACCTTTCCTATTCATGTCCTTATCCAAATGTCTTTTAAATGTTGTAATTGGACACACATCCATCATTTCCTCAGAAAGTTCATCCACACACAAACCACCCTCTGTGTAAAATATTTGCCCCTCATGTATGTCTTTGTTAAATCTCTCTCCTCTCACCTTAAAAATGTGTCCTCCAGTCTTGAAATCCCCCATTCCTAGGAAAAAGCCAACTACAGTACCATTAACTCTACCTATACCTCTTATTATTTTATAAACTTCTATCAGGTTGCCTCTCAACCTCCTACACTCCAATGAAAAAAGTCTTAGCCAATCCAGCCTTTCCTTATAACTCACACCTTCCATACCCAGCATCATCCTGGTAAATCTCTTCTGACCCCTCTCCAGCTTAATAATATCAGTTCCTACTCAAGTGGGCTTTCTCAAGAACACTGTTCATTCAGCTCCTATATTGAAAGACTTATAATTCTTGGTAAACATCAGCATAATTCTTAGCATTTTGCCAGGAATTGAAGCAGTAATTCTATTTGTCCAATTCCTTCCCTCCTACAAAGATGAAGAAATTATTTACATTGGAACATATAATATGAGCTTTAAAAAAAATTAGACAAATATCTTTGAAAATTATGTGTGCCTGTAGGCAGTTTATATAAAAAGCCACACAAAGGGAATTCTATGACATTATGTGCTAAGTCAAAGAATACCAACAAAAGAGGTATTAGGAACAGTGTGGCAGGCAATGAGTACAGGAAGCAACAATACATGAAGTACAGGTTATATGCACAATTATTAATATATATTATTGATATAAGAGAATCTCCTTTATTAGTTATTTAAGATGTAGGTGACTGTGTGAATTGGGATTGCCATTGATAGAGATTTGCTTATGGAATTTAGCATTCCTGCAGTCATTCCTTCCAGAACTTTTCTCCGTAGAATTGTACAGTACTGGAGACCATTCAGCCCATCATGACTATGCACCTTTTTGTTAATGCATTCTGAAACTCTCCCACTAGCCTATACTGATATCATTGTTGTACATCAATCCCAAACAAAAGTCACTAGTCTGCTTTCTCTCTAAGGCCTTCTTTTGCAATAGTCTTCTATTGCTGCTAACATCGAATGCTCTATTCTTTGTGCTGCTGTCGAATGTCCCACTTGAGCCATGAAGGTCACTGGGAACGAATATTTTCATAGACATTTTTTTAAGGCTTCAAACATCTGTTCCAAAATCGTGTCTCTTTCAGAAAATCTAACTCCAGTTCATGCTGGGAATCTACTTATGTTCAACATCCTAACACTGTATGACAGTTTAAAGGCAAACATTGAATTAAGAATCTCTAAGTGGACTTTTTGCATTAATTAACTTGCATTAATTTTCAGTCTGCAAAGTAATCCCGTTGCTCAATTCCCATTCTTTATTTGTATCAATCCAAGCTAATCTGCTGTCCAGTAGCACTGTCTCTGGTTTCAAACAGTTATTCAATTTTCTCACCGCCCACCCCCTTCACCGCCATCACTAGGTATTGTCACATTTGATGAATCAGTCATCAGATGGACAGGAATGAGCTATTAAGTGAGTGTACGGCTAAGCTCTGAACAGGTCAGTGACATGTTGCTTTTATATTTTGCAAACAGAACCACTCCCATACAGCTTCTAAATGGTACATAGTTTTTGACTATTTTGATGAACTCTTCTTCTGTTCTTTGTTGAAGCTAGCTGTTAAGTAGGACAACAGGATGCAGTCAAATTTATATTAGATAATTATGAAATCAAAAAATCTTTCACACGTTATTTTTACATTAGTTCCCATTCAATATCATTCTGCCCCCAAAGGTATTTCCAGTTTAACTGCTCATGATTGGCAGCTATGCCCTTCAGCTCCAAAACCCCTCTCCTGGATTTCTCTCTGTAATCTTCTCTGCACTTATCTACACATTTAAAACACACTTTTAAAAAATCTACCTCTTTGACCAAGCTTTTAGTCATCTGCTTATTTTGACAAAGGCTCCTGTAAAGTGCCATGAGACTATATTACAGATTTTGTATAAATGTAAGTTGTTGTCATACACCAGAGCATTCCAATGGAATAACTTTTAAATTCGGGTCTGGAGGCCACTTGACTGATGCAAGCACTATCCTCATTGACTGATTGTAAATACAAGCTGCTGTCATTGAGAACCAAGAGGACCACATCCCAAATGCCCAGCCGTCAATATAACACTGCTTCTCAAAAGTAATCAGATTAGAGTCACCAGGTAAGTCTCATATGGCTGGTAGTCCAATCAACGGAGTGTGACAGTGTGGAGTTACATAGTAACTATCTTTTTAACCACCATCGCTTTATCTAAACGTATACACCATCCAAGTCAATGGGGTGGCTACTGAGAGCTGTCATCTTGATACACAGCTCATCTTAAAAACTTTACTTACAATCCAATAGAAAATAGCCCCGGGTGAAGGACATTATCAATAAAAATACAGAGGGGCTACTCAGTTTAGTAGCCAATGACTCCAGAACACAAAGGAAACTGTGAGAACCAGTGGCAATAGGAGGTTTACATCTAATCCATCAATAATGTCATTTCAGTGACAATCATTGGTGAACAACAGCACAATGAAGACTCATGGCAAAGAGCATCACTCAACCCAGTGGTATTCAAGTATAGTCCAACTGTTTCCTAGTTAACGGAAGACAAGATCATTTGTTGCAAGGTGTGTATGTGACAAAGCATACATTGTGTGTGCAGCTTGTCAAACCATTTGTAAACCTCTTTGTTTATATGTAGTTTATTAATTTTATTATGTGCAAGACAAAGAAACAATTATCTTTCTGCAGGCTGTGCGTTGTTAGCTTCTGTTGACTGTCCGGATACTCCTGTAGGACTGGACTTTTCTCTTTCCTCCTCTCCTAGTATTAATAAGCTAAATGATAATGGATTAAGCTTTGTCCAAGGTCAGCTGTACAGTATGTGAACTATTGAACAAGGTCCATTTGGGCCTGGATCAGATTACTGCACATTCCACATTTGTGCAACAGTATTTTTAACATGTTGCAAGTGCCTTTTTACACTAGGAAATAAGTAGGTGTGGTTCCTCTGATGGAGACACATTGAGTAGCATTAGTTATTAAGGCTCAAGCTGATGCCATGTACTGAAGTCCTCTTATCAGAGGAACATTACAAAATTTGAGGAAAATCATTAATAAAGTTTAATTTGTTAACTTACTGTGTTCTAAGATGGTTTCTTTCTTTCTGTCTAACATTTGACTGCCTGTCAGCCTGGAGCGATTGAGTCCCTGAAGGGTCAGTTCCAAAGACATTATAGAGAATATCATAATGATCATTCTTCATGTGTGTGGAATTATTCAACAACTTATGCAGCACCGGTCACAGCCTTAGTATGTTGCAAAGGGAGCTGTGCTATTACGCAACTCTGGAGCAGGTAGGACTTGACCAGGCTTCCTAGTCCAGAGACAGGGACAGTATAATTGTGCTGGATGAGTCCTACATCTCCATGCAATTCCCAGCCAATTAATGACTGAAAGTAATTAACATGGCAAATGTGGCAGGTAATCTGCAAATAGCAAGGACCTTTAAACAGTAATGGGATAAATGAACAGATGTCAGGTTAAAATGGATAACTGGGAGAGTGCTTCAAACTTAATGATCAGGTTTTTACCCACAATGGAGAGGGAGCAGTGCTCCCAAAAGCTCACTTCCTGCCTCACACTGGCAATCCTCCCAAGTTTTTGCGCACACCTCGGTCCCTCCAAACCATATTCCCAGCACCTTCAGGTAATTTGTTCTGACAATGAAGGGAATAAATGATTGGTCAGCAACTGAAAAACGTACCCTGATAAATTCAGGGCTGCCAGATTGGGAGTACCTCAAACTGAACCTGCATTTACATTGGCCATGCAACAGAAGAAAATGACAAAAAACTAAGAGAAAAAGGTAACAATGATGATCTCAACGATTAGATAATTGAACAGTGAAGAGAGGCTGATGAAACTTCAAATTATTTTAACTGGAAGACTGATTAATAGAAAGATGCAATTTAGGATTTCAGAGCTGTAGAAATTTGGGGATGGGCATCTTCAGAGATTATTCTCTGAAAAATGCCATGATGTGGAGGTGCCAGTGCTGGACTGGGGTGGGGTGGACAAGGTCAAAAATCACACAACACCAGGTTATAGTCCAACAGTTTATTTGAAAACACAAGCTTTCCGAGCCTCAGTCCTAACACCTAAAGGAGTGAGACTCAAAAAGCTTGTGATTTCAAATAGACCTATTGGTCTATAACCTAGTGTCATGTGACTTCTGACACAAAAATGTGCTCAAGATTCACATTAGACAAGTGCAAATGAAGAAAGAAAGAACTAATTTTGAAGAATTGCTTATTCACTAATGGAACAGTTGGTTCATGGAGGAGATTGCCATCTAGTGCAGTGGACACTGGCTTAGGTGCTGATAATGCTCAAACCCAGTCACTTCCAGACTTAGTGTTTGACATAACTGTCCAACCTCTTGCACTTTGCTGAGTCATCAACATAACAACAACAACATCTATTTATGTAGCAAAAGTACTTCACAAAATTCGACACGGCCACATGGACAGATGTGAGAGTAGATGATGGGCAAAGAAGTAGGTTTTGAGGAATACTTTAAAGGAGGAGGGAGAGGCAGAGAGGCACATTGCTTACACTGTGGGATATTGTTGTGAACCAAGAGGCAACAGCAAAAAATGCAGCTTGTAGTCACCCTTCACTTTGCCTTCCCCCTTTAGCCATTTGAGAACTTATGCAACTAATAACAAAACATTCACGATTCATGTGGTTTCCATTTCCAGTTTCAGCTATTTCCAGTAAAGATCCCAGTGAAACTCTACATCTTTAAAAGGTTTGAGATAACAAGGTGTAGAGCTGGATGAACACAGCAGGCCAAGCAGCATCAGAGGAGCAGGAAGGCTGACGTTTCGGGCCT